AAGATCATACCTGGTTTGTAATGTAACCAAAAATGCAAAGAAGCATATACAGTTGTATCACTAATGATTAAAGAAATGATCATTTTTTCAACTAACACATGTCAAACAGTTTTATTGTAATGCAGAGACAGACTTAAAATAATTCAGGAAAAACTTTTCAGGAGGGGACAAAGGTATCTACAGTACATAGCATAAACTAAACAATACAAAGAAAAGTACATTTGATTAAAAGAAGCAGAAGGTTTAAATTGGAATAAAGCAATCCTCATAACATCCAACATTATCAGGGCAAAATAGTACTTGTTATAAATGCTGATTTCAGTGTTTGGGCAGTATGGAAAATGTGAGAAAATGATAATCAAAAATAATGGATGAATGAAGAGAGAATGTTCTACCCCAATCCTCAGGTGAAGATGACAGGGCTGATTAGGACTGGGCTCTGGACACTTCTTCTATCATTATCCAGGATACTGATGCCCATCCAGTGGAAGCATCGCCTAATGGAGAAGCACTGGGACAATGTCCTACCCATAATTCAACAGTAACCCTACCCTGTGGAATGTTTTCACAGTATCCCTCAAATGATCTGTGATGAAGCAGCTGAGGATTCCCAGATGGCCAATTGTTGTACACAGCAGCATCAATTGTCATTGGTCCACTACATTCATTTCCATTAAACTTGAAGAACCACCGGTTGCATTTCTTGAAAGTGCCTCTCACTCTCGTATTTCCCTGGAACGAGACTCTAATAGCTGTATCGGACTGCAGCTTGTTAAATGAGCAATCCTATAAAAAGTGTCATGAATACAGTCTAAGAGTGGTAAAGAAAAAAAAATTGATGATGACCTTGTACTTTTCCTGCCTGCTAGAATGCACAGAATTGTTAATTGATATTTTTAGTTCGGCTGCGTTTCTCAAAAGTCTCTTTCAGAGATGGCCATGACAAATTGGCTCTAATGCTTAACTCATTTTTCATTGCATTTTCTAGATATATCTGTACCTTAATCTTTCCGCTAACTCTACCATCTTCATTCTTCCACACACACTGTTTCCAGTTGGTCTGTGACACTGCACTATTCACGATTTCTCCTTTCTCTCCTTTAGATCCCTGCTCTCCTTTCACACCCTTGATTCCTGGCGGTCCATTGTTGCCACGTGACCCTTCATTACCTTTATCTCCTTTTATTCCCATCATTCCAGGTGCACCATTTTTACCCAGTGACACTGGATTTCCTTTTAATCCTCTTGTTCCCGGCATACCTCTCGGTCCCTTGACACCAGGCTCCCCCTTAGCTCCATCTTTTCCTTGTTGTCCTTGTGGCCCTGGGGCGCCAGGAATTCCCGGCATTCCTGGTATGCCATTCGATCCTGGAATCCCAGAAAATCCGGTAGCAAAAGTGGATTTCTGAGGAAGAAAAAAGAACATATTGTAATTTGATGGACGTACTTGATGTTCATTGATATTTACTTGTTAGCCGAAGTAGCACAGCAGTTTCTTCAGAAACTAATCCTGATGAGAATTTAGCTTCATTTTAGGAGAAACAGCTCGGACATCGAATGATCTCGTAACGTTGTATACGTAGAGATATCCCTTAAAAGAAATTTTATTCAGCAATGTTCTACTTTGTCTTTGAAAACTTATGATTGATGAGAGATTTTTTTGTGCTTAGCTCGGCAGACATCAGTGATAAACTGAGGTATGACAAATGAACGCGTCATGAAATACATGCTAATTTTGTCGTAAATAATCGTGGATAAAGCGTGCTTAAGAGTACCTCACATGGGTCTTTGTCAGCGACAGTATGTAGATTTTGTTGTTGAGGACTGGTGGTTGTTCCCACGGAACTTACTCCTGTTTTGGATGAGAAAAATAACAAAGCAGCGAAGATCAGAAGCTTCGCCATACTCCGATGGTTACTTTGCGCGAATAGTTCGTGTTGACTGAAATATATATCTCCTTATGTACGCGCCTATTTATATCCTTCTGAATTTCATTAAATGCAAACTGTCAGTTCTCATGTTAAAATAACAATTTTAATAAAGAAACCTGGAGCTAAATGATAAGGATGTCTAAAGCTACTCGAACTCACACACCGGGTAAACAACTTGACTGTGATATCCTTATCAGTTCACTAATGAAGCACGTACTGACCAACAGACCAATGTTTCACTCAGATTCAGAGAAACTACGCAGTACAATCAGGGCCACAAAATCTTCCCTTTCTAATCAAACGTGACATATTAAGATGCAAAAAAAGTTTGATATGGTCTCGGTAATATGATGTTCATTTGTCTTTAGCTCTATTTCAGTATTCATGTTATTAGAACCACTCCAAAATTGCATAAACTTTTTCAAACGCCGCGTGTTTGATCTAGACTTATTATGACGTGGTGGGTTAGATTTTCGTGCTAAAAATCTGTTGATTATTTTTAATGATGGCACAAATTGCAGACCCGTCTCACTAACATGAAATTGAACTGAAACTATAATGTGTTTAAA